CATGGAAATGGGGATGAAATTGGGATTGGGATGGAAATGGGATTGGATGGCAATGGGGATGACATGGTGATTGTGATGGGATTAGATTGGGATTGGATCTTGTTTGAAATTGGGATAGAGATTGGAATTAAGATTGGAATAGGGACATGGATTGGGATTGGATTAGGGACTGGATTAGCGATCGGGATCCCGTGGTGCTGCCCTCACCGTACACCGATAGCCGGATGGGCGCCGCAGCGCGGGCGAAGAGCGGCCCATGCGGGCGCAGGGAGAGCTCGGCGTGGCAGCGCACCGGCTGGCCGTGGTCGCCGGGCCCGGCGGTCAGCGTGTGGCTGACGGTGACGGCGGCGCTGCCGGGGGCGGCGGGGAAGCTGTGGGTGCTGAGGGTCTCTGTGCCGCGACGCAGTGTCACCGTCAGGTTGGCCAGCGGGGCGCACTCGGCCACGTGGCACCGCAGGGTCACCGCGGCACCCACCGGCACCGCCGGCACCGCATCCAAACGCACCCAGTCTGGCTGCTCTTATGGGGGCAGAGCAGAACGGGGAGAGGGGGGCGTCGCAGATCCGCCTGCAGCCAATCCCAACCCTATATCCCATCCCAATCCCAACATACCATCCCAATCCTAACCCCAATCCCAACCCTATATCCCATCCTCCCCGTCCCAATCCCGGCCCCATGAGAGTGCTGGCCCAACCACATCCCCATCCAAATCCCATTCCCGACCCTATATCCCATCCCAATCCCATCCCATCCCATCCCTATCCCCATCCCCATCCCCCCCACTCCAATTCCATCCTACCCCACTCCCAATCGCACCCAAAGCCAATCACGCCCCAATCCCCATCCCTCCCCAGTCCCAATCCCCCCATCTCACTGTACACGATGATGGCAGTGCTGCTGTTGGCACTGCTGTCCCCGCACCGCGCTCGGCACAGCGCCGGCTCTGGCTCCCATTCGGTGACGTTGGTGAGGACGAAGGTCCTCCAGCGGCGGCCGCCTGGCCCGGCGGTGCTGCCCAGCGCCCAGCTCAACTCCGGTGGCACCGCGAGACCCGGGCAGAAACCGCGGCTGCAGTTGATGGGCACCGAACCGCCGAACGGAACCACGGCGACACGCGGCCACGAGCGGACCCAGAAAGTGGCTG